ATAAAATTTTCTTTCTTACAAGTTCTCTATTTTGATTATTAATTATTCAATACACACTATTTTAATTATTACATCCTCAAATATATTTCACTGCTCAAGCTTTCATTCCAACAGCATACTCTAGCCTGTCGCTTTACGAACATTTAAAAATTTGGATTTTCATTAACGTCATGAGTCATACACAATCGAAATATAAAATACTTGTCATGGGGAATTTAAATATTGGCGAGGAATATCTATTATATACACAGGGTGATGGAAAATACAAACAGTAGCTATCACAAAAAGTTAAAAACATAGACCTCTATAGGATGTCAAGTTCTGATGTCAAAAACGTTTGCAGTCATGTCTTGGATGACGGCCCGAGAATATATGCTCGTGGGAGTACATATAGGAAGTGAAATGAATGAGTCGGAAAAAGTAGATGCAAATGGTGATACAATAAGTCCATGAAGTTGCAATGCCACTATGCTGAAACCCTGGACGGGTAGCTGGACCATTTAAGGTGGGGACTTTGGAACAACCGAGAGTGGTGCAAAGGGATGCCTGAATGGATAAAAAAAGACCTACAATATTTGTCTTGGACCTATATAATTGGTTAAGTGCCTACCATACGAATCTCCAGGTGGTAGAAAAGAGAAAGACCAAAATCTCAGGCTAGTAGCAGATATAGTTAAGATATATCGCAAACCGTACCGAAGGACTGAATGATACCTAGTTTAACATATTGAAAACAAAGCTTCTGGGACACCGGGTCATCTCCGGGTAATTACGGCATGCAGGGCTCTGCCGTAGCGGATATTTTTCCCTGGGTACTCGTGCGTCAAAAAACGGATTCTAAAAACAATAAACGACAAAAAAGCAAGGCAACAGCGTCAATCTCGAAAGGGGAAACAACGAAGGCAGCGCCTCCTGAAAGCTAGCAAAGAGGCGTAAAGTCATTGTCTCCTTTCTGGAAGAGGTATACCAAATACCCGAGGACGTGGTAAACTCTTCCCGTTTAGGTGTTCATTCAAAGACAAGGCTAAAGAATTTTTTGAAAACTGGCCTTAATTATACAGCGGCAAAAATGTAGATAATAAAAGAACATTTTCCAAAACCCCAAACTAGGCCATACAAGCCCTAGAAGATAGAATATCAAAAAACCAGGGTGCAAGGTGCTGCCAATCAAGGCACAAAAACTGCAAAGCGCCCACGTTCAACAGACCACAGGTCAGCTGACTAAGGAAGAAGGTCTTGCCTCAGTGAAGATTGCAATGGTAGCAGTAAGGTACCCGGAGGATAAAATAAGTTTAGAGAAACTAGGAACAGTCCAGGATTCGATTTCCGAGGCTCACGACAAAGTCACCACAGTGGGAACACAGGTGAGATTAGCGAAGTGCAGTAAAAAACCAGGCTATCTAAAATCATTGGAAGGAGACCATACCCCTAGGTCATTAGCATGTACAACATTCGTCCCTACATACTTTAATACCTACTTCACGTTTCAGTAGTGTCGCCTGGTGGCGAAACTTAACCTGTTGACTCTCATTATTTTTTTGTAATTTTTAATTCTCATTAAATACTTTTTTGTCTCGTGCAATTGACCGTTTTGTTAAAACAAAGCGTTAAAGCAATTTACTTTATCAACTGATATTTTTACTTTTATTTTCAATCGAAGGTTGGTCGAGTCAAAAATAAATTATCTCTATTCTACACCATTTATTAATCGATTTACAACGTGTTCCAAGACACTAATAACCAGCTTGTCCTGACATTCTTATACCATTGTTAGGAGGTGATTGATTACAGATAAGAAAATTGATATATAAATTACCACCGATAAATAAATGGCTGTTATCAAGGATAATACGTACAGGAATTATTAGAATACTGATATAGAAAATATTGGAATGGAAAAATCAATGTGACGTTAACCTCAAAAATTATATCAGAAAAATTTAATGTTTTCCTGTCATTAAGTTTTCTTATAAGACAAACATCTCAATTTTCGAATTTAAAAGTAACAAAATATTTGTATTTTACTTTAGTACGAACAAAACCTCAAAAACATTTAGACTCGTTAGAGAACATACAAAATACATTTTTGCGATATCTTTATTAAAAAAATATAGTTTAAAAGAACTAAAAAACACGCTTTTAGAGCATATCAAACTAAAAAGTTAAAAATAATTTTTCAAATAAGCTTAAAAGAATAATAAATGGAAAATACTAGTATTATTGTGAAAAAAGCGTCGGGAGCTCGATGTACGAGAAATATAGATAAAGCGCCCCACGCTTTGCTAAAAAAACAATTTTTTTTTTCAGCCGTGGGGATTAGAACCCACGATCGGTGAGTCTGGCGATCTGAAAACCCGCGACTTAGACCGCTCGGCCAACGAACGAACTTGAGGTAGTGGAATATACTGACAGTAATAAGCCACTTGCTTTTAGTCCAAAGGAGAGTAATAAACATACATACAGGGGAAGCTAATAAAAGTGTGTTAAAAATATAATGTCTGGCCTAATTATATCAAAATAAAAACCTCTATGCTTAGAGAGGAATTTCTAGTACCTTCACTAATTCATAAACGTAAACAATCGAGTTCGTTCCTTTTTAAAATTGTCAACAACGACACAAATTGTATGCAATTATTATTGTTAGTACCATTTATTGTTCAATCAAGAAGTGTCAGATCCTCTCTAAAATTTAATATTTTTAAAAGCACTCTGCAATCTGCTCTAACTTATATCATAAGACTTGATAATAACTTCAATTTAATGATTGGATAATTGTTATTAATCAATTCAAAAGGGTTCTATTTGATTATCTAAACATTTTAAGTTTTTAAGTATAGATATATTGTCAGTCCAGCACTTTTTTGTATATTTTACGGTTTTGATATTTATTTGCTTCTGTAAACGTACATTGTATTATATTTTGAGTATCATATAATATAACAAATATTTAACTGTTATGTTAAGAAAACTACTCATGTAAAAAGGCAAATAGACCTGTTTGAGTTTTGGCAGTGGCCGTTCGTGGGGTGGTTCACAGCGACAGAATATAGGTATCAGTACAGATGTATGAAAAAACTTTCAGTATTTTAGAAAGTTTAAATATACCTTTTTAAAACACTGACAGTTTTTTACCTATATCTGTACCGGGATCTATATTCTGCTACTGTGAACCCCCAAAATTTTGATCATGAGCCGCCCCTAAGTTTTGGTAAATAAATAAATAAATAATCTTTTGATACCTATTAATATATTACTATTATGACTTGGAATCATGACTTTTTGTATTGATTTTGAGTGTAAAAGTCCTGCTATAAAAATCTGAAACGCACTGTATATAATCATTATATCTTTTCCTCCTGGATATAGGTCCTGCTACCTATGATCCGTTACTGCGGTATTTCTCCTGCTGTCACGCTATCACCTATCCCAACGGTAATCCTATTTAACCGCTGAAATCGTATCATGGCGGTGAACCTGATAAACTTGATCTATGCCAGTTTGTGTTAAAATAGTTGCAGAATTTATCTCTGAGATACGAAATCCTACTTTGAACTCATACTTTTAACTCGTTTTTAATATCCATAAAGACCGACGTAAATTTTATTCGTCGGTATAATAATTATTACCCGTAAAATTCTCAGCTTTCGCAAACTTTAGGAAGCGCGACACTTTATAGCTTGTTTATGCGATAAGTTGGTGTCTCGTATCTTCAGCGGTTCTGCTGAATCTGCATTAAATAAAAAAATATATTTCCAGATATTCCGGATTATTAAACTAAAATTTAATAAATACTTGGTTTTGGAATTTATGAAGTTTGAGTGTGACAATTACAGTGAACATAGAACAATTGGGTCAATATTAATAATGGAACTTTAGGAACAAAATAAAGTGTCTCGAAAAGAGCAGTAAGTATCAAACAAATTTTGATTTCGATTAGGCACCTAACAAGTCGCATCCCACATATCTACATGCTCTGGGTCATCAATCCTATAAGTTTATATTAAAACATTAATATACTATCTACATCTACAATTAAACAATAATTTGAAAATACAGATGAAGCTGATTTACCTATTTAGACAAAATTACTATTCTATTATTTATTAAAACAATTATTTTTTAGTAAACTTGGACATGCAAAAGCAGCCATGAGGGTAGGACATTAGTGAGAGCAAGAATACTTTGGAATATGCTGTGAAATACACTTAGAAAGGGTCATGTGGAGAATTAAGTGTGATAAAATTGTACGATGTGTATCTCACTATTTTAGTTTACATATTTCTATAAATGTTCAATTATGTGCTGCTATTTTAAACTTTTAGTATCCTTTGATAAAAGTAGTTGAATATTATCATTGCCCTCTTTAAATGTTTATTTTACCTCATAAATTTTTTCTTCTACTCTTCATACAGTATTTTGTGAAGAATATTATAGGTTTACTTTGTCCGTCTGTCCAAAGTCACGTTTTTGTCTGCACGATAAGTCAAAAACGAGAAATGATATCAACTTGAAAATTTAAGAAATCTTATTAAAAATAGGGGGTTAAGATGAGTTGAAATTAAAAAAAATCCTAAATTAAAAACGAAAAGCGATAATAACATGAAATTTTTAGTAAAAATAAGGATAAAGCCTATTGATACTGAAAAAAATATGAATATATTGGGAAGTTAAGGGGAGTTAAAATGAAGGGTACAGGGGAAAAACGGGCTAAGTCAGTTTTTAGCGAAATTGAGATATTAACGTCATCCGATAGAAAATATGTTAAATTTTGTTCTAAAAATACCTCCCACGTCAAGAATAGGATAAATCAGAAGATATCGAATAAGAAAAATATCCCGTACAGGGGAAAAACGTGCGGTACCCAGCAAAAACGGGCTAAGTCGCGTTTATACTTGTCCATTCGGTAACGTTGTGATCGCCATTTTAATTGTTTTCGTGCAGATTTGTCAGTGTTCTTCATGTTTTTCATTGGTAAACATTGTTAGGAACATTGTTCTATCATGGAAAGTGACTCAAGTAATTGTGAAAGTGTACAAGTGATATCTTCTACAAAAAAGAGACCAAAACATGGACGATTAACAGATGTGAATAAAAAATTGAAAGTACAAAGCCATGAAATTGGTAAAGAATGCGATTGTAAACGTTTACAGTGCTCCAAAAAGATTCCTGCGGAGGGTAAGCGAGATATTATAAAGAATTTTAATCTTTTAGAGTCTACTGATAAGCAAAACTCCTATTTATGTGGACTCATTAGTATTGTCCCAGTCAAAAATAGACGATCTCGGGTAGATGAAGAAAATGCTCGTTTAAGAGATGTTGTAGCTCTGTATAAGATTAGGTATTTACATGAAAATAAGCTTAATGAATTAGAAATTTGTCGAGATGAGTTTATAGCATTACACGGCATTACAAAACGTCGAATTGAGTATTTACTCACATCTTTAAAAAATACTGGCATTTCTCCAATTGATAAAAGAGGAAAACACTCAAAAAGGCCATTAAAACTGTCTGATGTTACTCGTAATAAAATTAAAGAGCCATATATCTTCATTTAAAAGCAGTGGCAGTCATTATAGTACTAAAGACACTCAGAAGAAATATTTGCCTGAAAAGCTAAACATTAAAAAAATGTGGGAAATGTTTAAAAATATGCATCCCAGCAATGAAGTATCCTACGAAACCTACAGGACCATTTTCACCACAGATTTTAATATAGCTTTTGGTTACCCACGAACAGACACGTGCAGTACATGTGATGAGTACCTAGCTAAAATAAAATGTCTCGAGCATGAAAAACAAAATGCAAGCAATGAAAACCCTGTACACACGTCTCCAAATAAAAATCAAAAAATAGGTCGAACTAAGGAAGATATAACAGCTGAAATAAAACAACTGACCACATTACATGACCTGCATTTATGTAAAGCAAAATCATTTTATTCAATTAAAAAGCAATCAAAGCTTTCAAGTCGCAAATCAAACGTTAAAGAGTCAGTCTGTATAGACTTTGGTAAAAATTTTCCTCTCCCCAAAATTCCTACTAATGATGTATACTACAAAAGGCAGTTGTCCATTTATATGTTTAACGTACACGTTTTGTCTGACTCAAGAAGTGTTTTTTATGTATACCCAGAAACTATTGCCAAAAAAGGTAGTGATGATGTTTCTTCTCTAATGAATCATTTTGTGTATAATTACTAATTACCTTAATTCAGACATAAGAAACTTGGATTTTTTTTGTGACTCCTGCGGTGGGCATAATAAGAATTACACTTTTTTCCGCTACTTACATAATCTTGTTCACCAGCAAAAAAGATTTGATTCTGTTCGAGTTACTTTCCCAATTAGAGGCCATTCTTATATGGAAAATGATAAGAATATGGGAATCATCAATCAGAAAGCCAGAGTTAAAACAGTGAAGGAATTATGTGACCTCGTCCAATCTTCCAGAAAAAAACCTTCGCCCTTTGTAGTGGAACATCTTTCAGAAGACAATCAACACATTTTTCAACAGTGGACCGAACATTTGAATAAATTCTACAAGAAAAAAGCTAGCTTTCCAATTCAGTCAATAAGGCAGTTCGAAGTTTCAAAAGAACACCCTAGGTTGATCAAGTACAGAGACACATATAATGGGACATGGATCTCTGCAGTTGTGATGGATAGAAAATCTGTGGTCCTCAAAAACTTGGAGACAAACAACCAGTTTCTTCTTCCCGAAATATCTTACACAGGTAAACTTATACGCATATACTTTTATTTTGACTATTAAAATTCTCTTATTTGTTCCAGGTCCAATACCAATTTCGGCGGAAAAATTTGCCAATTTACAGAGTTTGAAGAAGTTCTGTGGAAAGGAAGCTCAAGATTATTTTACCTCACTGGTGCATAATTAATTGGAAATATGAAGGACTTCTTACCTATAAAGAAACTTTCAAGGTAAAAAAATCTTGTTTATTTTTTTGTTTATTTTTTTTATACACTAATTAAACTATTTATTATTTATTTTAGGTTATCGAATTAATGATAGAATAATGAAGATTATTTTTTAGTTCAGTTTTGTTTTAGTGTATTATTTATGTAGGCATAAAGCTGGTTGTTGAGTGAAATAAACACACTTTAAAATACAAAATTATATATTATAAATTCAGGGGAAAAACGGGCTAAGTCACGACCAATTAACAATAAATTTTTGATTTTTCCATTAATTTTTTTTTAAAGCCTTTCTTTTATGACCCAAAGATCTATGGTATTTAGGGGCCATATTGGTAAAAAGAGAACTTTGTGAATTCAAATACTTTAGATTTTGTAGCGTTTTGAAATTTAAAATTGCTTTATCTCAAAACCATAAAATTTGACTTAGCCCGTTTTTCCCCTGCACCCTTCAAATAATTAAAAAAATCCTAACAGAAAAACGAAAAATGATATCAACTTGAAATTTTTAGCAATCAAGCTCTAAAAGGAGAAGCCCTTTAATTATAAAAAAAAATCTGATTAAATATGGGGGATTTAAAGGAGGTTGAAATAAAAAAAAAATGAAAAGCGATATCAACATGAAATTTTTAGTAGAAATGAAGCTCTATACGGAGATGATGCCTATTGATTGTGAAAACAAACTGGTTGAAAATGGGGGTCTGTTAAACTGCGAAGAGTATCATTTAGAATGCCAGGCATTATATATCTTTATTCTAGTTTGTGTCTGTAATATTATGTATTGTGATGGGACTGATCTTATAAAATAAACATTTAAAACATTTTAGTTCTTATTTTATTTGCCAATAAAAGGTATTTAAAAAATATTTTTTTTATTTGATATCTGTGACAAATTGTAAAAATCATTAAACTTACAATAAAAACTGAAAAATGGTAGGTAAAGTTTCATATAATATTTTTTACACAAAAATCAATGTTAAGCTGTCTACATCACCTAATATATATTTAAAAATAATCTCAAATTATGAAGGAAAGTCAGTTTACTAACTAATAATGTTTATAGATGGTTTTCAACATATTAAAAACAAAACAAATATTACAGTAACTAAAATATTCATTTATTAATAGTTGTAGTGCTTTAAAACAGTATGATGTTGATGATAATAATAACTACACTTAATACAAACTCAAATAATTAAAAAGAAAAACAGGACTTTTACAAAGTTTTGAACCGAACTTACAAATGATAAAATTATTGGAAAAATTGAGCACCCATTTTAAATTACCACGAGCCGCCACTGAATATACGACTATAAAATATGTCTATATATGTTTATAATTTGTTTGAATAAGAATAATTTCTTGACCGTAACAGAGTTTTATATAAATAAAAATTTCCTTGGTTTATTCGGTCGTTTTTATTTTCTATCGTTTAGCACAGCACTACATATGTTTCGGAAAACTTTTCCATCTTCGGTGCTGTCAAAATTTAATAAAACATAAAAAAATACAAACGTTAATCGCAATAAACTAAAATTAAAAAAATACGCTACGAATTAAATTACTTACTAATTAAATTAGCTGCGTCACATTTTACAATACGTGACAATTTATATCCCACTAGGGTGTTAGAATCAAAAGTTAACGCAATAAATTAGGACATTTAGTGCCAAACGATCCATCTAAAGGTAAGTGCCGATAAGTTTGCCTTAAAAGTTATATTTTCTCCCAATTGCATTGAACCAGAATTTAATTTATACCCCTTTCCTGTACTTACTGCTGAGATTCCACTTTAAATATTACACCCCTAGCTTAATGCTAAACATTTTCCTAAAACCGAAAAAGATTAGGAAAACTCGCTCAAACCTGGACAATAATGGAGCCCCAGGACTATCCCAACCATCGTCCTTAAAAAATGATTGTGTACCTGAGCTTGCTATTTCCACTCCTCCTTTTAAACGCGCCTAAATAAATTAGTAGAAGATCCAAACTTATTTCGACCTTCCCACATCCATTTTCCTAATCCAATATTATATTTTATACATATTGTATAAATAAACACGACGTGCCAGGGTTGGCGCACTATATCCGATCCACGCCCTTTTTAATTAAAACTTATTGAATTAATTTTTTATAAATAGTTACAGCGACTAAATTACATTAACCGATTCACAATGATGTGTTATTCATAAAAAAAAAACGAAAAAAAAAGGGTGAAAAAAGACAAGAGGTCAGGATATCTAAGTAAAAAGTGGCATCCAAAAACAGAAATAAATAAAAATAATTGAACTGGACTGAGCTACAATGATGGAGAAAGGGTATGGCAAGGCATTTTAATCTTGAAAAACAATTAAGATGAGGTCGGAATACAAATTCTTCTTACAACTTTCCAGATTCCTAGTCAAAACAAACTTCACTAATTACATTCGCTTGTACACGCAACTGTACCACATAGATTTATCTATTTATTTTCATTGTGGTAGACACCGAAATACTTTTACGTTGAGATTAAGGAGTGATCACGAAGTTTTGTTATTGTATTGGTTTGTCGAAACAGACATAGTTTAAAGCAAGTTTAACTAGTTTTAAACTATTATTGAATTAGTTAGTGGTTAGTTTCCGTCTTTCAATAGTTAGTATTTAATCTGATTTCAAGACAACGAATGGGTGAGTCGAGCAAATATTGGATTGGCTATAACAAATAATAAATTTATGAAATTAATAGGTAAACTGAAAAGTTTATCCAGAGAAATTTTGTCGGTTTGTGACAGTCCTAGTATGACAAAGGTTGAACCATGGAGGTAAAATAGGGAAGGATACGCAATCACGTTGTTAAAAGTGTCACCACGTCGGCCATATTGATGCTAGACTTCCTTCACTTGTGACAGTTTGTATTTTAATGTATTTTTTAATTTCATTATAATTATTAATTATAAACGTTTATAATGAACTATTAGTCTCAAAAGCATTAATAGAATAATGGCGTCGTGTGCTAAGTGCAATTGCACAAGTAAAAATGGTGTGGATAAGAAAATTTCCTAAATAAGATTTCATAGGTAAGTATAAACATAGTGCAGAGTCGTATGAAAATTAAATGTTAATTATATCTACATAATAAACACAATTTTATTCATTTATTGTAGATTTTCAAGGGGATTTAGAAAAACGTCAGGAATGGATAAATTTTGTAAGTAGAAGTTCTTGGGTACCTACGAAATATCGTGTATTATGTTGCAATGTTGCAGGTACTTTCTAAAAAAGATGGGTTCCTAATGTTGATATAACATAAGTAAAAAAGTAATCATGTACCTAATTATTTATTGTGTATTTATCTAACACTTTGTAACTCTTATTGATTAACAGTAAACATTATTATTCTTTTTATTCTATTACTTTACAGGGAAAATAAATGAAATTTTGTTGGTATTGTAATTACCCTTCGTAGCATTCTTTCAGCAAAGCTAGAAACTTTAATGCTAATTGTCTTAGTTTGAAATTTCTTATTTATTTATTTTTTTTTAATTAATGTTATAAGTACCTATATATTTTAAAATATAATATACCTAAATAAAGTTAAAATATCAAACATAATAATGAATACAATAAAAAAATATTTTATCTTTATCCAGTTTATTTAAAATTTAAATTTTTATTTATTGTACGAGTTGGGATACATAGATTGGGTGTTTTTGTAAACGCTAGTATTTAGCCGTTAGTGATGGGTTAGAGATTCTCGAACGGGCAGTTCTTTATTTTAAAAGAAATTACCGAGTATTCTACGTAATGTACGATTCTGCAAAACATAGGCTGTTTGTTTGCTGACATTCATAAAATGTATTCCCTCAACGATTATATTTTGTACAGCAACCATGGCGAAAATGAAGATATTTCCAATTACTCGTAAATGCTATAAACCAAGCAAAAATAATACTTTTAACCCAAAAATACTCGATTTTTAGAAAATATTTATTTTTTTATTAAAATATAAGTGTTAAAATATGCAATAATTACTAATCTTTTATTTAGTTTTATTTTACAATTTCTGTTTAAATAGGTAAATAGCTTTTTTAATAATTAAATAGTTTTTGTTTAAATAATTAAATTGTTTTTATTTAAATAGGTTAGTTTTACAAAAGTTGATTTTTTTTAGTTCTGAAACACAATTCACTAAATCTAAATATACAACCGAAAAGTATATTATACTAATTGTTTATATTTACTTTCCATTTAAATAGGAAAAAATCATTTTGCTAAATGTAATCAACCTACTAGCCTATCTGACTTGCGTCCTAGTAGTATTCTACCCACTCTTTCTAGATCGTTTGAATTTATACTTAAAGATCAAATTAGCAAATATGTATAAAAACAAAATTTAATAACCAGCTCAATCTGGCTTTAGAATGCACCATAGTACGACCACTGCCACAACCTAGGGATATATGTTATCTTGAATGGGGTATTAAACAGGTGTAATTTTAATTGTGACCTTCTTCGGAGTAATGTGAGAACGATTTGGATTTCTTAAAAAAGTCTATTAAGTCGAATATTTGATTTGTCTGTGGGCCAATAAGTTGGCTTGTCTGTTAAATGTGACACACATTTTAGCTGTACCATCACTTCTTTCAAGTTTTTATCATTAGTTGTTTTTTGTTATTCTAAATCCCAATGGGTGTTTTGCATTGAAGTCGGCTCCAGTAATATTTTTAAATAAAGTTTTTAATGTTTCTTTGTAATACGAGTATGATTCTGTCCCAGGGTACCATTAAAAATTATGTAAATTTACCTATTTGTTTAATGCTCTGAATTCAGGCACATTCGTTTTTTTTAACATGTTTTAATCAAAATCTTAATTCTTGGGGTGTAATAGCTACGTGCGTTTTTAATATGCGTCACAACTTTTTTTATAAACAAGTTATAATTTTAAAGAACAACTTCAAAATCGTGCAGATGACCTTAAAAATTGAGATTTTTAAATTTCTCATAGATCATCAGATCCTAGCCAATTGTATATGGAACTACCCCTGAGGTATTCTCTTTCTAAGATAACGTAGTAAATAATTATCGCTGAACATACATAAAAGAATATATTCGACGAATTGAGAACCTCCTCTTTTTTTTGAAATCGTTTAAAAAATAAAAAGCTTTAGGTGTCTGTTCTATAAAAATTTGGTTAAATTTAACTCTGGGTTATAAATATAACCGGATGTTTTTTTTTGTGTGTCATCGGCTTCAACTGCTAAGGTTATTTCGCCTCGTGTTCTGTGTAGGCTTTGTTACTGTTTCCCAGTGCCACTTTAGGAACAGCACTGTTAATTAGAACCCAACAGTGAATGGTCGAGTGGGGAATCCTACCAAGGCAATGTTATTTTTAATTTTGTATTCCGTATTATTTAGTTACAAATTATAACTTAAGTCAGTAATAAATCTAGTAATGATTATATGTCAAATATATTCTTTTTCTTATTTTTAAAGCCGGGTTGAGCTACATTTCAATTAACTTTTAGTCGTTGCCATGTCTATTTTAACTGCGATTGGTTATAAAATAGCTAATAACACAAAATTAAATTGATGAAATATAGAATAGAGTTGGGTTAAAATTTTAATGTCATAGTTATAAATAACCTTTTAACATTGCTGACAAAATTAATTAAAACGTTACAGCTATAGCCATTGATTCTACGCCAATGGGTTATTTTTAAAAATATTAATTTTTTTTATTACTAAAATTGACAGGTAATGAGTATAATATTAATTCTCATAAAATTTAAAACTTTTTCTAGAATGTAGGTATATAAAAAAAATTAGTCTCTGCATACAATAAATTTAAATTTTCGGATTTTAAATTATGTAACATTAAATTTTATATCTTACAATTTTAAACGATTACTGAAAAATTCTGAACGTTAAAATAGCTGTATAAATTGAAATGGTTTATGAAAAAGACCGGAATACTGGTTTTCAAATAAAGATGCGGTAAAAACGAAATTTGCATAACGAAGCTGCGAGCGTTATGTGCTGGCGTTCGCCATTTGATCTGGACATACCGATTCGACCTAGCATTATTAGATTTGGTTAAATTTAGATGCTTGAATTTTTTTCTCGGCTATTGATCTTTAACGACTTCATACAATGTCCATTTTATAATGATATTGCGGCAGTTTCCATTATAGACTTTTAATGCACTTTACGACTTTAGGGGACAAAATGAGTTTAATTAAAATTATTTCCTGATAAATAGCGCTTGTCCCAATATTTTTAATATGCTATTCCTGATGAGTTAAAGTAAGCATTTTGTTTAATTACCACTAGTCTTGCAATTATATGCTAGGTGATACCGTAAATTATTCATTTTACTCAGACAAGTAAATTATTTAAATTATTAAAAATGTATAGGACGAGCTATTCTGTAAAAATTTGGATAAAATTAATCATAGGTTATTAAAAAAGTTATTAAAAGTTTTATTCTGTATATCATATTTGGTTAAAATTATAACTAATGTCAGTTAAAGTTCAAACTTTATCGTTTGCACCTTCGCTACTTACACAGTACACAGGTAACATTGCTGATAACAGTTCGGAAGGGATGGTTTATTTATTTAAGAAGAACTACTTTGGTTAAAATGTATCTGGTACTAGATTTTGTGTTTAATTTGTCTCAAATAACAAATACTTCCAGAGATACAAAATGTATTTCCGGACATTGAATTACAAGTGTTGTAATGCATGTTCGAGATCGACTCCATCGATAAAATAAACCCTTTTATTTGGCATGTAATGAGTCAAATTTCGTTGATATAATGGAGAGACTCCAATAAGCGATGAGACAAGAAACCGCAGAACACTAATCAGATAATAATTGGCAAGTATTAATTACAAAACACTGTAATTAATTAAGACCCTCGCCCCCCTATGGGGGGCTTTCGTCCCGCTCATCGCTATTCGTTATTATTCGTTATTATTCGTTTCTATTCGGTTTTATTCGTTTTATTCGTTTTTATTCGTTTTTATTCGTTTTTATTCGTTTTTATTCGTTTTTATTCGTTTTTATTCGTTTTTATTCGTTTTTATTCGTTTTTATTCGTTTTTATTCGTTTTTATTCGTTTTTATTCGTTTTTATTAGTTTTTATTTGTTTTTATTCGTTTTTATTCCTTTTTATTCCTTTTTATTCATTTTTATTCGTTTTTATTCGTTTTTATTCGTTTTTATTCGTTTTTATTCGTTTTTATTCGTTTTTATTCGTTTTTATTCGTTTTTATTCCTTTTTATTCCTTTTTATTCCTTTTTATTCCTTTTTATTCCTTTTTATTCCTTTTTATTCCTTTTTATTCCTTATTATTCCTTTTTATTCCTTTTTATTCTTTTTTATTCCTTTTTATTCCTTTTTATTCCTTTTTATTCCTTTTTTATTCCTTTTTATTCCTTTTTATTCCTTTTTATTCCTTTTATTCCTTTTTATTTCTTTTTATTCCTTTTTATTCCTTTTTATTCCTTTTTACTCCTTTTTATTCCTTTTTATTCGTTTTTATTCGTTTCTGTTCGTTTTTATCTGTTTTTATTCTTTAAATTACACCAATGGTGTATCTAAGCATTTTCGGTATTGATAAACCTCCTAAAAATTCCACCCACTGATAGCTTAGTCAATATTTAAGATACTGATTTTTATTTTGTTTAAGCTTGCTATCTTAGCAAGCTCCTTGTACTTGTTAACCGGATAACAAATTGGTTATCTTTTGGAAATGGCTGATACATTATTTTATCACATTTTTTAAACGAATACCAATTATAGCGAGCAAGTAGATATTTTTAATAAAGCTGTCTTGTAAATAATTAATAGTTGCTTATTTTACTTTTAGCGAAATCGGGTGACTAGAATTTTAAAATGCCAGAGATTGGATTAGTTTAATTATGAGTAGGACTTAAAACCTTCTATCTCGACGTTTTTAAGATCTAGTGTATATATTTTGATCATTATTTAGAGCACTGTGTCTAGTTTTTTTATTTTCTAATAGTCTTTATAAGCTAAAAAGTAGCTTATATTTATTAAACTAATAATAAAGTTCATAAGTCTTAAAAAAAATCATTCGGATATAGTTAATAACGACGATAAGGAACTATTAAGTAATCCACTCTGCATACTCGCCTGGTGGTCACTAGCTACCATCATAATCGTATAGCAGTTATATTGTTAATAAAATAATCAAGCGTAATATACCAAGACCTTGATAATAGTCAGCTATTTTTGTTGAATCTAAATTTCGATAATTTTAGGCATTATTAATCTGCCAAAATTATGTAGAATCAAATTGTAAAATGTTTGAGAAATTTAGCAACTACTATTATAGCAGAATATTGATCAAGGTCGTGTTATATTTGTGACGACTATTTCACTAGACCAAATATCAACCATTTTTCTAGATAAATAGTCGCTGATATTTGGTCTAGGGAGATAGTCAAATAATATTTCCTGAAAGTTTTAGCGGATTGACCGCTTGCTCTGTTTATCTCCCCTTGTATGCCTATGGGGTTTACTCCTAGAATATTTATTTCTAACATACCTTTTTCAATGGACACTTTGTTATAAAATTCTTAAAAACATCTTTATTCGCATTAAATTGGAACATATTCCCACAAATTGTTTTTAGAAAAGTGCATGCATCGCCATCGTATTTGAGAGCAGTTTCTTTGTAACTGCCGTCTACAAATTTGTAAATCTGACCTTTAACCTGAAAATAAAAGAAATCAATTAAAGGTTGTAGGTGCGTACACGTACACACTGGTAGATAAAAAAAAATGAACAAACGTATTTTCAATTGTGTTCATTTACTTTTGATGTTAGCAATATTTTTACCAATGTAACTAGAGACGAAACCCTTTTCCCATTATTAAAGAACTTTTGTCAAAAAACAATGTTAATAAAACTACCATTTTAATTATACTTGACTTGATAAAATGAGGCATATACAGGTTGACATTTAATAATTGTAACACTGCTTACATCGGAAAAACAGCTACCTAGATCAACTACAACAATCCTAATTTCACTCCTTTTGAAAATTCGACAATCTTTCACATTACTTTTATTTCCAATTTTAAATTATATCTAGAAGACCTGAAAATTAATAGGAAATTTGATAAAACAAAATTTCACTCAGATCCCCTTTTTTGTTGCTATGTTAACAGATTTTCGTTGAGTGATACCGCTGGTATGTAATAAGTATATAACTGGTCCTAGCACACTGCCTTGTGAGACTCCTGCTTTAATTTCTTTCATTTCGAAGTATAACTCCTCTTTCTTCACTCCAAATATTCTTCCCAGAATGTCGACATATTTTCTAGTGAGCTTTTTTTTCAAGTTTGTGTATGAGACCAGCGTACACTATCTTGTCAAATGCTATGGCTACGTCAAGGAATATAGCTTAGCATATACATTTTTCCTCATATGCTCTTTTTTATGGTAACAGATATCCTGTGCACCTAATCTATTTTCGAGTTTTTTTTGTGTCATCGGCTTCAACTGCTAAGGTTATTTCCCCTCGTGTTCTTTGTAGGCTTTGTTAATATTTCCCAGTGCCACTTTAGGAACAGCAGTGCTAATTAGAACCCAACAATGAAAGATCAAGTGGGGAATCCTACCAAGGAATCAGAATTAATTTTAAATAAATAAATTAAATAAAAAAAGTCCGGCCAACGGTGGGATTAGAACCTGGGACCCTTGGATCCGCAGGCAGAGACTCTACCACTAAGCCTCCCACACCCTTCTCGAGTGTTTGTTTTTAAAATCAATATGGTGCCAAGGGGTCAGGTTTTTATTTCCAATTATTGTTTTTAGTCATTTTAGAAGTAGCTTTTTCAATATCTTAGTTGGTAATAATGAATTAGGTCTATATGATACTTCATTCGGAGATTTTCCTGGCTTAGAAATTAGGATAACTTCAGCCATTTTTAACGCATCTGGTATATATGTCGTAGTCTTATAGTGAAATTCGTCTTTTCATGAAGATCCTAGGCACATCATGAAGCGTCGGCATATTGTGTAACATCATGAAGCTACACACTCTGCCGATGCTTTTTATGAAGAGACCACATTCTTTGTGAAGTAACGATTTATAGTCGTCAGATTGTGTAACATGTTTAATTTACCTGATTTTGTTGAAACTGGTAGTAATTTTGTTATTTGTGGTTAGTATAGAGGAAAGTAATGAAAATAAAATGTTTAATGCATACTATAGCAAATAATATACGTCATGTGCGATAAAAGACCATGCAACATGAAGCAGTTAGTAAGGCATAAACAATTGTTTGAGGTTATGTTATAAATCATGCAAAATATACGTAAATACCAAAGGTACATAATATAAGGTGGACCCAATAATAATTATTTAAGTATATTCGTAGGGTTAATTCGTATATATGGTGCGTTTAGATCTTACTAGAAGATTTACTAAGCTTTAGTTGCCGGATATTGATAGTAAGATTCCCAATATAAAGTCATTCAATTTTTTTTTGTTTATTCTATTGCTTCCTCATCACACAAGGTGAGGGTAAATATTGTATAGATAAAAAATATTTTGGTTTTGCCTAAAACTGTCAGACTGACTCTTAAATGACCAAAAATAAGTTTTGACAAAAATATATGTCCACTAAAACTCCCGAACGGTTTGAGGTATAGATTTAAAATTTAATGAATATAATCAAAAAAGGTCTAAAATAGTTTAAATATTTTTAGCGATATAAAGTATTTTATACGATAAAATGTTTTTTTTTTATCTCTGTTCAATGCTGGCCCGCCCTATATAATCCACTGTCTCGGTAATAAGCTCAGAAGAATCATTTAAACACAACATACCTTGCCGTTGTAGGTATTTCATTAAACCACAATATTTTAATTTAGGCAGGTTGTGTTACAAACAATTTGCCGAAATGCTACGGGCTATTCATGAAAAGCCTTGGCAGATTGTGTAGCTTCATGATTTTGGACAATATGCCGACGCTTCATGAAATTACTAGATGAAAAGACGATTTCACTATGAACCTACGACATATATTTAAGGCAAAATGCGGCATTTATGAGATATGTCAATTTAACGATAGCCTTCCTTGGTAGTTTCTTTAATATTATTCCATTAATGAGGTAATATCCTAGGGCTTTCTGTGGGTTGATGTTTGTCTGAATTTTTTTCCAACTTCATTGGTAGTAACTAGCCTAATTTTAAGTTGTTTCACATTTTCATCTAATTGGAACTTTTTTTGTAGATGGGCAATGAGAATATCAGCTTTCTGTATTGTCTCTTGCTCTTTTCTATTTGTTATCTGCTATTATGATAGGAGGATAGTGGTTACACGAGTTTTTTATATTTAGTCTTCCAGAGCGAATAATTAGTTTCTTTATTTTTAGCCTCACTACGTATCTGTTAAAGGAAGTCTTTGGGTAGACCTATTTAATATATTTTTATCGTCTGGTTATTCTATCATCTGCCATTTCTTTCTTAGTTTTTTTTTGCTACCAATTCTCTTATCTCGACCGGGTAGTTTTCCAGTTGTTAATCGTCTTACTTTTGGTGTGTTCTTCCATTCAGCTTGCTGGATTTTCACTAAAAACTTTTCCAGTTCTTCATCTAGGTACCTAAATTTTCTTAATGTTAAGTATTTCGCCTATTTTTATCTATATTGTTCACTTTTTATTTATTTTTTAACGTAAATTTAATAGGGAGACGACCATGTTGGCTAAATATTAAAAGGCCATTATATTTTCATGGTTTGTGCACCATCAACCATTAATTAAGTGATGGAATCTCAGAAAAATAGGAAGTAAGTATTAAAATAGTTCCTTTTTTGTAGTAATACAATCATGTTTTAAAATTAACACTAACCTATTACTTAACCAACTTTTTTTATTCTGCTTTTAACATAATATACATTTTTATTTGTCAGGCAAAAGCTTAACATCCTGTATATCCAAAAATATGCTTTTATTTTAACGTCCATTTAACTCTTATTTTAACTTGTTTGTGTATTTATCGATCAATTATGCACTAATGGGACACCCTGTGTAGTTATCAATTTGTTTATCATCCATGTTAATATTTTAATATTTTTAAGTATTGAACTTTATACAAATTTCACAGCCTCACCCCGTATAAACACGAAACTTTGACTAGAGAAAGGCACAGCAGGATATTCAAATTCTCTAGCAGTCGTCAAGGAGTCCAGTTTTGCAACTAAACTGATGGATCAGGAAATGGTCATTCATTAATGATATATCGTATCACTTTGTCCATCAGACTCGGACTTGCAAAATGTACTATTTGCCATTCCCAATTGCAAATAGAGATCCGAAACATTTTGAATGGCCCTTTCTCGGTCTGTTAAGATTTGAACATATTGTTCTTGGAAGTTCGAGAGTAAGTTGTAGGATCTTGTGGTGATTTACCTTTAGTGGTTTTGGGTTTATTCCGTTTGTGTCTCCATTCAATATTAATGTAGAAGTTCACTGTAGTCTAGAGAACAATTGATTTTTATTATATCCTTAGTTTTGGGGCTTTTAGTTTTCTATACTTTTTTCCTGTTTCTGTTTTCGCGAAATGCAGGATGTTTCTATGAAAAATATCCCCTTGTAATTGCTTATAAATACACTAAGGATAAAACTGTGTACTTTATTTTGTGAAAATATATCACTTCAAATATTGAGCTTATTCAGATCAGAATAACCCATTTTTAATAAATAAAGAACACTGAAAATTAGAAATATAAACTCCTGGACAAAATTAACGCAACATCATAAATTTGCCACATTTCTGATGCTATATTTTTTGAATTTATAATTTTTTTGCATTATAGGTTGGTTCCTTAACAATGTCATAATTTTCGCTGTTTATGATAAAAAGTTTTCGATTTATATCGGGTGTAATAAAAATGTAACGTTTTTATTTTTGAAAATTCGTATCACCCTGTGGAGTATACTAGCAACCGAAACATATAACACTTGACATTAGACGGTAGGTCCATCTTTCGCCAACATTTTCTTTTTTGGTTTACTTCATTATCTCTGTTATTAAAGGAGATACGCCGTTTTATAGCGTAACATGTTTTAATAGACTTTATTATTTAAAAAATGCATTGTTAAATGTTTTTAAGTAGGCTATGGACCTTTTCAGACATTTTAAGCGATGTGTCAATATGAAATTAAGTTATCACATTTATAAAAACATTCACATTAGGGTGAGCGGCGTAAAAGGAAGCATTATATTTCGAATGAAAAGACACACAACAATTGGTGGTTCTCTGCAAAAAAGAAGAATACTCTGTCCATATAAACGGTGGAAAAGATGAGTCTTCTGCAATATAATTGTCAACGAGATAATCACAAAACTGCGTAACTTTTTCATTGATAGGCCTAATTTGTGTTAAATCAGTTGGGAAAATGTCGCCTATATCTTCAGGATGAAGAAATGATAATCCAAAAACTAAGGTTAAAAACTTTGATAATTCCGTTTCACTCTCTCCCTTTTTTTGGTACTCTGTAGCTAAGCCTAATTCCTGAATTTTTCGGTACCATGACTGCCCTGCGTGAAAGCGACAACCTCGTGGACTTGCTTCTGGGAATGCCTTGTAGATGCTTCTATGAATAGCAATCTCAAAATCTGCTGTTATCATTTTTGTCGGCGAAACAGGGTGGTTAAGTTTGACACACTTCTCTATTATACAGGGTGTTAAAAAAAAAGTG